ACTATTACTATTCCTTTGTCTTACACCTCTGTTTACTGTCTCTATTATGCATTTCTTTTACTTTCTTCTCTTGTTTTGTGTGCTACACTATATGGAGTGGAGTGTGACGAGGTGAACTGGTGCACATCGGTGCAAAGTTCTATGACAAAAACAGACAGACGTAGAGGTTGTGGCAAAATGGCAAAAAAATTTAAAATTCATCTGGTATGCCACACATAGTACTGTCTCACCACATCTATGAAGAGTTGCCATCTCTGCCAAAAATGTAAAAAAACTAATCTATTGATATATGAAGAGGAGTGAAGTTTTTCATTTGATCCCTTCCACTTTTCATGACCAATCGATTCCCCTTAGACGCGTTCATATATATATGGCGCGCAAATACGGTAGATTTAGGTCTCAAAGTATCTGTAATAGCCTTTGTAGCGTCAATGACTTTGAGTACTATGAGTATACATACCTACATAACGCGAATGCATTGTAATGTTTTGATGATGACCATGATACCGAAATGGTACCATTAATAACAGTTTGTGAGGTATATGTGTGTAAAACTTGGGCATTGCGGTAGTAGTAAGTAATTCCATATTAGTTGGTTTATTAGTTGTATCTCACAGTCAATGAAACAGTATTAATATTTACTGGATGACAAAGTTTCGAGCACAATTCATTATTGCTGTTCATAATCATGTCGCCAATTATAATCACACGACTTCGAAACTTGACTTTTATAGTTTTTTTGTTCTCTCCTATTTGTCGTCATTGGGGGTGGTAGAATTTTCCAGATATCTGGTTGGACAGGTGTTGAATCATTCCTATTAAACTTGCTGATTCTCAGTTGATCCGATAAACAAAGTTTCTGTTATCAATCTCTCCTTCCCTCCACCCTGTGACATTAGATTTTCAAGCTGTCATCCTATTCCATCCAGTATATTGTATGGTTGTGTAATTGCATGTAGCGAGTGATATTTATATTATTATTATTATTGCTCCCTTGGGTTCCTAGTGGAACATAGAGCTTCAACTGCACGTCTCCATTTGCTTCTGCTGTACTTTTCGCCTGCATCCATGTTAGTCCATATTCTTTCAACTCCTCTTAACACGATCTCCTCCATGTCACCCTTGCACTGACGTCCCACACGCCGCTTCCCTTTCGGGTTCCACTCGAGGGCTTGGCGCGCGATGTCACCCAGAGGTCTCCTCAGCGAGTGTCCGATCCATCTCCACTTTCTCCTGCACACTTGTTGGGCGACTGGTCCTAGCTTTGTTTGTTCCCATAATTCCTTGTTGGTGATTCTTTTCGACCATCTGATCTTCAGTACAGAGCGAAGACAGTTGTTAATAAAGGTCTGCAGCCTTTTGGAAATATTCTTTGTGACCCACCCGCCAAGTTTCTGATCCGTATAGAAGAACTGATTGACTTTACGTTTGTATTGAAGTCCGAATTTTGTTGGTGATGCTGAGTGACGAAGATTTCCAGATTGTTGTTTCAGGTTGATGAATGTGTTACTCACCTTCCCGATTCTCGATTTGATATCCTCATCCGCTCCTCCTGTAGTTGAGACAATGCTCTCTAGATAAGGGAATGAAGTAACCTCTTTCAAACCCCTCCCGTTGATGGTGATTGTCGTTGGATGTTGTTGGTGTTGTTGGTTGGTTATTTTCATAACCTCCGTCTTGTCTATGTTTACCTGGAGTCCTGTCTTCACCGGCTGCTTCTTCGATCAGTTTGTCGGTTTTCGCTTGTAAGTCTTCGATTGTGTGTGACATCAAACATAAATCATCGGTGCGCGAAATCCAGGTCTTCTAGGTTCTTCACGTCGGTCCAGGATATTCCTGTCTTCTCGTTTCCCACAGTCTGACGCATAATCCAGTCAGTCCACCACAATTAGGAATATCATTGGTGATAGTAAGCACCCTTGTCTGACTCCTGTGTTTACTCCAAACGCCTCGCTGAGTCTTCCGTTGTGGATCTCTTGGCAGGTGCCGTTGTCGTACAGCTGTTGAATAAGGTTGATGAATATTTGGGGTACGCCATAGTACTCGAGTAATTTCCAAATTACTTCGCGGTCAACGCTGTCGAAGGCCTTCTCAAAGTCTATAAAGTTGAGGTAGAGGTTTGATTGCCATTCCATGCTTTGTTCAATGATGATGCGTAGAGTTGCAATTTGGTCAGTACATGATTTGCCTGACTTTCCTGAATGCAGCCAGCTTGTTCTGGTCGGAGTTCTGTCTCCAGTGCGTCCTTTAATCTCTCCAGGATGATGCGACTCAGGATTTTACTTGGCGTCGATAGGAGCATGATTTCCCGCCAGTTCTTGCAGAGTGAGACGTAAGTCGCCCTTCTTTGGTAGTAGTTTCACGAGGTGACATTTCCTCCAGTCAGTAGGCACCTTTACCCCCTTCCAGACCTTTTGCAATAATGGAGTCAGCATGTCTGCTGTAGTCTCTGGGTCTGCTTTCAGTGCTTCAGGGTTTCGCTTGTGTTGGTCTCTTCCCGGATAGAGATTTGGTTATCTGATATAGTGTCCTCAGGTCCCTTTTGCCTGCTGCCTTTTCAGCTTCAGTAGCTAGATTGTCGTAGAATCGTCTTTTGTCCTTCCTAGCACTTTTCTTCACTTCTTTGTCCAATGCTTTGTAAGTTGAACTCATCGTCTCCTTCTCCTGTCCGTCCTTGCATTGAATCATTTTCTCTTTCACTATTCTCCTCTCTTCTATTAATTTCCAAGTGTCCGTTGAGAGCCATTCCTTGTCTTGTCTCTTCTTTCTTCCTAGAACCGTTGAACACGTTTCGTTGAGAATCGCCTTCAGAGACTTCCAATGTTCTTCCACGCATGATTCTTCAGTGCTGTCGCGTAGTGTTTCCTGCTTTGCTCTGACAGTTGCAGTGAAGGTGTCTTTTGTGGTTGTGTCCTTCAGTAATTGAGTGTTGAACTTGCATTGTGGCCTATCCCCAGCTATCCTCGAGGCTTTTAGTTTCACCTTGAAAGTCCCTTCTACTAGATAGTGGTCTGAACAGCGAGTGATATAGTTGAACTATTCTCTAGATTTCTCATCTTATTCGGGTCAACTAATTTAGATTTCGCCACTGGGTTTTTGTGCTCACCTAGTCTGACCCTGTTCTACTAGTTTCACCTATGAATTTGACTTGACAATCACTGCAAACGGGGGATTAGAATAAGTAAATTGTTTTGTTTTAAAAGCTCTATAGGATTGATCCTTTAACCGACAAAGCTTGTTTCCATTTGAGTTTTTGGTTAGTTTAAACGCCGGCCACTTTTATACCTGCCTGCCTTGTTAAAAAATTCTGCGTCAGGTGGTTTCCAAGGTTCCTTCCTTGTATAAAGTTACTACTGACTATTTAGATTCCTTATTGTTGGTGTTGTCCTGCGCATATTTCACATGTTTGTTGTCATTAATATTATTATCACTATCGCTACTAGCATTTATTCTATTTTCACATTTCCCTACATACTTTCTGACTAATTTATCAGGGTAATTATTAATTTTCAAAGCTTCTTTCATATGCTTCACTTCCTGTCGTGGATTTTCCTTGGTAATACTTAGTTTTGTGCTCTGTCACTTAAACATTCCACCAATCCTATTTTTACTGACATAGGATGGATGGGCTGAACACACACTAGTGTGTTTAACTTCCCATCTTCTTTCTTTTTTACGTTACAATCTAACATTGGCAGTTCCCATTCATTATAAGTGAATTAAATTTCCTCCACGTTTGAGTTAGTTAATATGTTCGAGAAATCTATCTATATCCTGTGTTCTTAGTACAAGTGAATGTTGTCATCTACATACCTCCACCATACTTTTGGAGTGGGTGGGGTAAACGTTGTAATCGCTATGTTTTCCCACCTATCCATGAATATATACCTGCTACATCTGGGTGTAGTTTGTGAGGTAATCAACAATTCAAAGGCGATATACCAAGTAAGATAATTACGAAGAAATTAAGAAAATCAGTTCAAAGAATTTTTAATGCTGGCGAACTACACGTCTTATTCTATCTCTACATAACCGATGGGGCTACCTGGACTGAAAGATGACGTACCTAGATCAGACTAGCTGGCCACTTCAAATTGTATCTACCAATTCAACTGCAACTGTGCTTGTGGTGGAGCGAGTTATATTGGCTGTTGCCTTAGGAACTTGATTTGTCGTGCTGGCTCGCTCGAGAACATCTCCCACTATGGATGGCTAAGTAAAGGTGTAGTGAAAGCCATCATGAACAGTTCGATATTGCACCATCTGATGCAAACCGGCCAGCTAGCGTGGAAGAATCCTTCTCTATCATCATCACCAGGTGCGTAATAAATATCATCATCGTCAAAATCATCGTTGAAGCATCGAATGCCTCTCCAAACATCGGAGGCTATTGCGATTCGCCTCAAACAACCAGTGCTGTGTGTGTGTGTGTGTGGAGAAGAAGCAAGTCCAGCTAGTTAGACCCTACTACTGCCCTTACTGGCCTTCTTCAGTGGGTAGAGACTATAAATTCATGAATTTGTAATATTATCTTTCCTAATTTCTCTGCCTGACATTCACTGTGTGTATTGTTATGCTGATGCTATTGAACTGTAATCCGCTATTGGTATTATTATTATTATTGATTCGATGTTATTTAAACAGCAACATGAATGTTGTTGTTCCTAACACTACTTCATTCAGTATAATGGATGGATATATAACTGTAGAGCCTGATGATGTTGAAGGGGTTATCGAAAAGAGGGTTTATTCTTTGTTCAATATCTATCCATTCTTTGAAAACAATTTTAATGGGCATTTTTAATCAGTTATAGCGAAATTCTAATTCATTTCGTTCACCGTAAACAGGGATGACGCAGTAGTTAAGCGACAATTCAGTCTCCCAGATATTTCGAATTTTTTTCGCAATGTCTACCAATTCCAATAAATGACATTCATTATCATATTACTCACTCCTCTTTTTTTAGAACTAAAAATCAATTATCTTTTCTCTTTATCAGATATTCTCGTTACAATCCAAAACTCGTCTCGGTGCTCTGGAAATGCATGTGGGCACAATAAGGCAGCTAAAATTCATCACCGAGCCACAAAATTCAACCTATTGCCATCTATTCAGTGCTAGCGATGATGGTTGCATTGCTATTTGGCGGTGTGAAAATCCCGATGGAAAACTGACCAAATGCAAAACTCCTTCATCCTGGGAATGTATCCGTCAAATTCGACGTCATAAAGGACCAGTCCATAGCATAGCAATCCACCCTTCCAATCGTTGTCTTTTCTCTATCAGTGAAGATAAAACGTTTCGTGTGTGGAATCTTCTTCGTGGTCGACAAGCTTACGCTATTCGACTGAAGAATTTGGCAGATGGAGCACGAAGTTTGTCAGTATCACCTACTGGGAGTCGCCTTCTCCTGGTTTGGCCTGATAAATTCGATATGATTAACCTTACTGGTGAAATTCCTGCTGATACTGATTGTAATAGTAGTAAAAGTGAAGTTTTTAGTTATGGCAGTGTCCAATTCCCTAATCCAACTACCTCAGAGCCTGTTTTCTTCAGCGAGGATGATGATGATGAAGTGACACAGAATCAAGCAGCATTGTCAGATCCCCTATTTGCCTATGTTCTGGTTGGAGTCGATGCATCCCTTGCTCTCTTTAAATTCAGTATTGGCGGCCAAAACTCGTCGGACCGAGGAAAACCCTCACTGACAAGTAAAGTCGTTTTACCAGGCAAGCGTATTAAATTCCTTCAAGTCGTGAATTGGCCATCCGTTTTAGTGGCGAATGAAACCATCTGTCAAGGACGTAGTCGATTGTTAGTAGCAGTCACCACTGAAGCCGATTGTAGTCATATACGAGGTTATATTGTGAATCTAAACGAGACAGATGTTCTTGAACCAGGTAAATCATTTATCCCCCTGTTTACATATGATGTATGGAATGCTCGAATTACTGCTTTATCCGCTGCATGGAGTCCTCAAAATAGCTACGTGAACTTGCCGTTATCTGAACATTCCAATGACGCTGTGGCTGAAAATTTCACTTTTTAATTTAATTGTACACCTCACATCTATAAATTGATTATGTAAATATATAGTCCTCTCTATTATTCTTGAAGCTTGTTTGCTTGCGTGTTATACTCAATTCGACACGAAGGAAATGCTAGGATCACGCTCTATTTCCCGCACGTTTATGCTTACGATTAAATTGACATAAAAAAAATTGACGGTAGAGAAACAGTTACGTCCACAACTAGATCGAGACACTGAGTCCCTTATTTAAGGAAGATATAGCTAGTCGAGTGTCTGAGGTCGACAGCAGGACTTCCGTTGAGGTAGCCTGGCACAACATACAGTCAGCTGTAGACACAGCTGTAAAAGCTGTTAATAAGAGAAAACCAAAAGTTAGTAAGAGCCATTGGATCTCTACCGCCTCATCTGAACTGACTGACGCAACGAAGACTAATTCCGGCTAGCTATGATGAGGAGCGAAAGCTACTCAAATGTAAACTAACAAGAAATCTTCGCAACAATATGAACATTGGTGGGCGACAAAAGCGAAGGAGATGGAAAAGGCATCGGCGATTCGTAGCACTAGACAACTATTTAGGCTTATCAGGAAAACAGGTGGTAAAAGGTCAGTGATAAGTGAAACAATCTCTGAGAAAAATGGCACCATAATTAGCTCCCAGGATAGACGACTGGATCGCTGGAAAGAGCATTATGAGGAGCAGTTTAATTTGCCCACAGCCACGCTCAACCTTCCGAACATCCAACACCTCCCTGAATGGGACATAGACACAGGTCCTCCGTCCCTAACTGAGGTTACTAGAGCTGTCACCAATTTGAAACAAGGCGAAACAGCGGGACCTGATGGAATGACTCCAGAGGTATTTAAGTACGGTGGAGACAGTTTACTGTCTGCGTTGACTGACGTACTCGGCACCGTCTGGGAATCAGAGGAAGTCCCGTCGGGTTGGTGTAGAGCACTGATTATCCTGATATACAAGAAGGGAGAGAAGTCTTCCTGTGATAATCACAGAGGGATTAGCTTGACTAATATGGTGTTATCTAAAGTCTTAGGCTCAATAATCATGCGTAGACTAAGTGGTGCTCGGGAGGCACAAACACGAGAGAACCAAGGTGAGTTTAGACCAGAAAAAGAGGGTGTACTGATTGATCATATAATAATAATAATAATAATAACAGCTTTATTCCAAACAGTATTTGTGGTACAGGTATGGAATTTTCAGCGTGCATTACAGTATATTGCATCTAATTACCTCATAAATTATATAAGATATTTAAAAATCAAAGATAAATAAATAAAAATAAAATAAATTAGTTATAAATAAATAAATATTAAAAATTAAGAAAAAAAAAACAACGTAGAGTATTTCATTTCAAACAATGCAACACAGGATTTGAAATATAAAGTTGATGTGTGGTACTAGATGAGAACAACAGTGTGATAGTAACGAGGAAAGGAAAACAAAAACTAATGGGACTATTTGTTAGAGTGCCGCAGTAAGTTTATCGTGTCATACCTAACGGATTTCTCATCACATAACAGCTGTGCCAGATATGGTATTGTGGAGTTTTTGTATTTGGTAGTCCTAGCATATAGCCTCCTGTAGCTCTTCACCCTCCGACAGATTCTAGAACATAGGAGTTCCTACCGGCGTCCAACAGTCATTATATTTCTTGACCTAAAGGCAGCATTCGACTCTGTCGATCGAGAAGTTCTCTGGAGATGCTTGGCTGTAAAGGGAATTCCGAGAAAATATATTGCACTGATTAAGGCACTCTACTCGTACTCATACAGCCAGGTGAGGGCTTAAGGCGAGCTGTCATCTGAACTGATGACGACCAGTGGTGTCCGTCAAGGATGCCCATTATCCCCTTTTCTATTCAACTTCATCATAAATGTACTAATGGACTTAACCCTAGGTGACTTCAGCGACTCAGAGATTGACTTGCCACCGGGGAGGGAATAATCTCGTTGACTTGGAATATGCAGACGATATAGTCCTCCCTGCTAGGCGAGGACGCTGACAAAATACAGCTGAGTCTTCTGAACACCTTGAGCTGCAATCTACGAAAGTTTGTCATGCAAGCGATTCGCTCGTGCTGTTGTCAAATGTAAGATGATGATGTTACAGGACTGACTAGACTACACTGACTCATTCCTAGCTTAGAAATAGACAGTGAAGTGGTTGGTGGAGCACGTTGACCAATTCACTTATTTGGGAAGTACCATCAGCTAGTGCTAACGGATTGATCTCTGACGAAATCTCAGATGAGTACGGATACAGAGGGGTAGTTTCGCATACGCCCGCCAGTTTACGCCGTCTCTGTCTTAGTAGGCGTGATATCCGACTGGCTATTGACCAAAGGGCGGCGGGTGTACTGCTCTCAGGAGTCCGCTCCGTCCTCCTTTATGGCTGGCTGGCTGGCTGTGAGACCTGGCCATTGAAGGTGGAAGACATGAAAAGCCTAGCTGGCTGTCTTTGATCACAGGTGCCTGTCTGGGTTCTATCTCCCGTATGTGTTAAGTGATATAATAAGGTGAGAAATATTGAGGTTAGGCGTCGGTCGAGTGCTGGGTAAGTGGGGGGGGGAAATCAATCGACGAGGTTGTGAAATCACATCGACTGAGATGGTTACGCATGCACGCCTGGTCATCGCCTTCCTCGACAATGGGCAATGTTAGCTGTCTGACATAGGATTGGTCAGGCTGGAAAAGAGAGAGCTAGCGGCGGTCAAACCAAATCATGGCTTTTTCACCAGTCAATGAAATCTACAACAGCTAGTTTAAGCTATCCAGCCAGCCAGTCACGTAGGAAGGTGTAGACTTCCTGACTGTGACTGGTTGGGGTCCTCGGGATGACGGTAAAAACCAATGATGGCTGGGGAAACAATTGGTGATATGGCTGGCTCAAAGTGATCGTTGTCAATGACTGGCTGGCTGGCTCAGATGCATCCACTCCTTGTGACTTATGATTTCCAATGAAACTATATTGTTCTTTGTACGTTATTACTATTCCTTTGTCTCACGGCTCCTCTGTTTACTATCTCTATTATGCATTTCTTTTACTTTCTTCTCTTGTTTTGTGTGCCACACTATATGGAGTGGAGTGTGACGAGGTGAAGTGGTGCACATTTGTGCAAAGTTCTATGTCGAAAATAGACAGACAGGTGCGGTAGGTGTGTTACGTAATCATGTCCGAAATCGCACAACTGGATTGTCAGATGTACAAATATTTCAGATGTAAAAAAAAACTTTTTTCAAAGCAGGAGTATTATGTGTGGCATAAAAATATGAACACGACTGTTTGTCTATTTTTCAAAGCTTATGTAAGATTATTCAAAGCCCAATGTTCCTGTTGTCGCAATTCGCATCGACTGTGTATTCAAAAGCTAACTAAGAATCTCTCTGTTTCATGCGTAGCATTTTGTATATAAATTAAGCGACGTTTCTAAAATCATGTAGTCAATCCTGACCAAAAGTTATACGGGCTTTCAAAGTGTACACTTTACTCTACTGACAAGCGAAACGATAGCAAGTCTAAATAATAGTAATAACATGCTTTATTCCGAAACAGTACTTGTGATACACAGAATGGAATTCTCAGCATTTCGCTACAGTACATTCCATCCAGTTTGTACATTAACAATAAATAAAATATCTACATAGATCATGGGTGATCTCAGTTGGTATTTGACAACAACATATCGGTAGCATATCAGTCAGTAGAAAAGTTAAAAGTGAACACAATGTTTGAAGATGTTAGAAAAGTAGATACTGGCATATTTACCGGCGTAAGCGGTAACAAAAATAGTTGAGATATAGAGAGTGTGAGAGAACGAAGAGGAATATTTTAATTAGAGTTTGTAAGGAAGAGAGAAAAGAAAGAAAGAAAACGTTGTACCTATAAATGATGTGAGTTGAAAAGATGAGATCCAATTGTGTTTTACTGGCTATTTAATAAGTTAAAGGTTTCACGCCTAATGCTTTCTTCTCTGTCGCACAGAGCGCGAGCTACGTAGGGTATGGTTGAGTTTTTGTACTGACTAGTGCGGGCATATATAGTTTCTATATAGGCTTCTGGTCGTGCCTGATGAGATACAGGGGGAGAGTTGTGAATGAAGAGGGTGGTGTTAATTAGATAGAATGCATTTAGTCTATTTTTCACATGAGTCCAAATGCCTGTCGACCAGAATATTAACAAGCTTGTTGGTTAAGTGGCACATTGTTTACCCTGCTGAGAACCTTTATCAACACCCTACGTAATGAGATATGATCCTTCTTCAGTAGGCAGTCCTGAAAAAACTAAGGGGGAACAATAGAGAATAATGGGCAGGAAGGATGCAAGAGTTAACGAATTGTAGGAGTAAGGGTTGGGTTGCTTTATTCCAGAATGTCTTAACTTCTTCAATGTAGAAGGTAAGACGGAATATTTTCTTAGAAATCATCAAGATGTGAGACGACCAGGAAGGAAAGATAAGCAGATAGAATGACGCCAAGATATATTTCATTTCCGACTTGATCTCTAGTTCAGTGCAATCTATGTTGCACACCTCGTGTGAGTGCTAACCACCAGTTTTTTTTAAGGTCAGATTTATGCCTAAAGGTGGAATTGACTATTTGACATTTCGAGGGAGGGATTTAAGGTGAGACCGTTTTCCTTGGACCATTGGTTGATTTCTGATAAGAAGCTATTTAGTTTGGAGCAGTCACTTTGACACTTGACAGACGAAGATACAGTCAGCATATTTAACAAAATTAATGTCATTTGAAGATGGTAAGTCATGGTAGAAGGAAAGAAAAGAGAAGTGGGGAGAGTACACCACCTTGGGGGACACCAGCTTCAGTGAGCACAGCAGAGAAGGATTTACCTTTATATACAGTGTACTGCATTCTGTTTGAGAAATAGGAATGCAACCAGTTTGTGTCATCAGCATCTTCTTTAGCAAGCGACATCTATGTACAGAGTCGAAAGCAGAAGTGGAGTCGAGATACGCGCAACGAATGTTGTATTTGATAGCTTTATCTAATGATGAGATGATACTGTTGTGTAAGACGGCTGCAGCGTCTAAAGTACTCCTA